ATTTTATATTTTTAAATTATAAACTCAATAATATGTTTAAAATTATTCGTTCTATATTATAATATCATTCCATATATTTTTTTACCAGCCCACTAAATCCAATATAAATTGTCAGGTGCAGCGAGAGCAGCATTCGCTGCACCCGTGCGCACGCCTATGGTGTAATGTGTGAAAAGAAAGTGTGATTTTTAACTTTTTGATGAAACTAGGTCCATTATGTTTATTGAAAAAAAGAAATTGTTTTTACATAATATAGTTTCAATAATCGGCATAATAATTTTTATTATATTGAAATATTATTATTATTTTCTAGTTTCAATTTTTAACATCTGACTTTCAAAAATTAATAATATTATTTCCCTTAACTTTTTTTTTGTGTACGTCTCTGATAGTAGCCAACGTAATATTATTAGTGATTATTGCCATCATCCATTTTACAATCGATCCACTAACACTCTTCGGTATGTTTCCTACAATAATTTATAATTTATTTACAAACGATTTTTACAAAAAAATTCATGGACGACACTTTATGTGCATGTCGTCGTTATAATCATATTCTTCCTATAGTAGATAATAATATCATAATTAATAATTTAATAATTGCATTGTAATATCATTTTATCGATCATCATCACAACGTGTGATTTTTTTATTATAAATTTATTATAATTTTACTTTTGTTACAGGAATGGGCACTTTGGTTACATCTCCGTTCGCAATGAATCCGTTCGCTCTACCTAACTGCAACGGACAGCCGTACGCCACAAGCCCGTTAATCAGCTCGTCTGCGAAGTAAAAATATTCAAAATACGATGCGCTTTTAAAGTAGTGTCGATTATGTTTACTAGTAGTTGTCAAACTTAATCGACTACACACCGATTCAGGAACACGACACTTCCGCATAATAGATTTACAATACGCATTGTTATTATTAAAATCATTTAATCATTTATTATTACTATTGTTATTATAATTATTATTATTACAGTCCGGATTTTTATTCTGCGAGCACACTTAAAATAATATGTTAGTATAACCGATCAATTAAATGTAACGATAAAGTTACCGAAAAAAATTAAATTATTCGTTATWTAAACTCAAAAACAACTTTCATATTATGTGTTTATTCTTTAAGAGTAGGTGTAACAATATAACTACTGTTAAATATATTTTTGAACTGTAGCATTGCAATATACGTGATTAAATCGTTATTGACGTTTTAAATAAAATCTTCGGATCAGTGCGTTTGAATGAAAATAATTATTGTAGCTTTAAAAAAAAAATCCGTTACCGATCTCATTTATATAATTGAATATAGGTACTTATTGTTATTAATTAATGTTATTAATTATTTTATCGTAATATCATATAATATGAAATGTAAACAGTTTATAATATACGCATAATGAATAAAATCACGAAAAATCCGGACAATAATAAATTACTTATTATTATTGACGGCATAATAATAATTGTTGTCACGTCAAATTTTGACTAACATATTATTATGTCATAAATACAAATAAT